TCAGTTAGTAACTGACCGATAAATCTAATAAGCGCATCCTCAACACCCAGACGCGAGAGTGCGCTTGCTATTGCACTGGGAAGAATATTGTTAAAAGCTCCTTCAATATCTACGAAAGCCACTATACAAAATTCCTTTAATTTGAGAGATTTTTCAATAGTATGAGTGAGGGCATGAAGTGCTGTTTCGGTGGATTTACCCTTAGTGTAGGCATGTTGTGTTGGAGACTAAAGATTGGGATCTATAACGCGCCTTATTTCGAAGTCTATAAATCTTTCTAGAGCTTTCAGAATGAAAGATGAAAAACTAATTGGACGGAGTTCATTTGGGTTACTATAAGAGGTTTTACCCGCCTTAGGAATAAAAACAACTCTAACCTTTCTCCATTGAGTTAGAACATAATTAAAAATGAGACAGTATTTAAAAATGGTCAGGAGCTAGTTGTATTTGTTCCAAAGAGTTTTGAAGCTCAATAGGATGAATACCATCCGGCCCTGTTGATTTGTAGGGCTTAAAGCTAAAAATTGCCCATAAACATTAAATAACAATGAATCTTTTATTTTAAATATTATTTGTATTGTCTAATAATAATAATAAGCCTTGCTCGACGTCAATGATTTCGAGCTGCCTCTTATACTGGGTATAGGCTGCCTATAAGTCATTTCCACCTTCTGCGTCGCAACGCTAATTCCTTTTATCAGCGGTATTGCTTATTCTTCTTCCTAGAGGCTGCAATACAGTATTTATTTCATTAAACGTTGGCCTTCTCCATGTTGTATTCGGACGACTGCTTCCTCTGCTACCTTGAGGGTTGTATACCAACGCCTGTTGACAAATTTCGGCATGGTTTAAATATTTTTATCTTTGTACGTAAACTATAGCTATTGGTAAACTATAACACTTCCTAGATACTGGAATTTATTTAGGCGTTCAATAGTCTCCGTTTTCGATTTCAAAGGTTCGTCAATTCGATTGTTTATTCTGATTTCATTTGTTTTCTGTGCATTGATTATTAGTCCAACTTTGCAGGACTAAGACAGCTCATTAAGTTTCAGTTGCATATCATTAAGCTGATGTCATTACTCCCATTTGTCGTCAGCATAGTTCAAACACTCTAGCCTTGTGTTCGGTGACAGTGCGTTCCATACAATACTTCGTACCTTTCCTTTATTTGCTCTTTTCGTCATTGCGCAACCACAACTAATAACCGCAGTAGAGAAAGGACGCATCCTTAACGTATACCACAAATTGTACAAAAGGACTTAGACAGTTTGTTGTCATGTAAAACTGAGCACTTAAATTTATCTTAGCTTTTTGCAATTACGAAGACTATTTTAGCCAGGACACCAATATTTTTCAATTCTACCCATATGCAATTTCGATTTAACGAGTCAAATACCTTCTCCAAATCGATGAAAAGCAGATAAAGTCGTGATCGCATCTCTATCGATTTTCTATGATTATTCTAAGACTGTTAATATGGTCAACACAGGATTTTCCGCATCTAAAACCCGCTTGCTTTGGTTGTTCTAGTACTTCAACAACTTTTAACAATCTTTTCAGTATAACTTTCTTAAATATTCTCATCACAGAATTTAAAACCGTAATGCCGCGCCAGTTTTTACAGTCACTTAGGTCTCCTTTCTTGGGTAGTTTGATTACAATGCCATGGAGCCAGTCGAATGGATAAGTTTCTGTTTTCCAAATAGTTTTGAAGAGTGGGCGTAAGACATCCGTTGTTAGTTGTAAATCAATTTTCAGCGCTTCGGCCGGAATATTATCAAAACCTGCAGCTGTTCCGTTTTTCAGCAATTTTATTGCACTGGTTATTTCTCTTTTTGAGCGAGAATCGACCCTAATCGGTAACTCATTTGCATTTTATTGTCTATCTAGGGAAAATTTCTTAATTACTAAAATATATCATTAAGAATATTTAAAATAGTAAATTAAATATAATATATAAAAATAAATATAAATATATAAATTAAAATTATAAATTAAATAAAAAAAAATTATTTTCACTAATAAAATTACGCATAGCAATTGCTGTTGACACTTCGGCGATTGCTTTAATGCTAATGAGCGAAAAACGTTTGTAATTTTTACTGGGGATGTTTAAAATAATATTGACTGTTTTGATGTGTAATAGCAAGGGACGACAAAAAAGTTTGATAAACAAATCTCATGTGTAATACGCGCTTGAAAAATAAAAAAATGAATGTGGACCTACATAACCCTGTTATCAAAGACGAGCTTAACAGAATTAAGAACAAATAGAAAACGAAACTTGAAGAGCATTCCAATATGGTATTCTAAGCAAATGCATTACTCGTCAAATTCCTGTACACTTAAGACTACTTAGAAAAGACGCTTCAACATATTTAAGCAGAATATAAAATATATAATTACAATTACATTGATTAAATATTTTTTAAATACATATATTCTCATTTTATCAAGATATTATTATTATACTGAAATGGAATTACTTTTCGTATGTAACTAATGTTTTAATGTTTAATTAAATTATTGTAAATCTTCTGTAAAGAGATTCATTATATTATAAAAGATTCATATTATAGTTTATAATATATCAAGTTAATATATTTCACAAATTTTACATATTGGATTTTTATTGAACAGAAAAAGAAACTGGTTACAAATAAATTTGGTTCTAACTATTTTAATTGAATGAGTATATTTGTATTTTTTGTCTTTTATTAATAATAAAAAGTAATTGCGTAAATTTCTACATATATTGTTACATGACTCTAATAGTACAATCACACTGTTTCATTTAGACATTTTCTAATTTATGTTAATGAGTGAATTTAATAATATGTCACACAAAAAAATTAAATATATTATTGATATATAAAATAATTTATATGCATTTCATCTATATCAATTACATGTTGAATAAATAAAAACAAAGATTTTATTAAATGCATACTTCCTCAGTGCCTACCTATTTTCTCAATGCGTTTGTTTACATCTCAACTTTTGTTTATTTACATTTTGCATATACCACATATAATACATACTTCAGATTTTGGTAGTTTCCCTTATAGTAAATTTATTTTAAGGTGTTGTTGTTTGTTTTCATTTTACGTATAAAAAATATGACACATATAGGGCCGATTTACGCTATCATAAACGTAACATGAACATGAACGGTTTCCTATAAATGAGAGGAGGAAGAGACTGTTACGCTAGAGTTCATGAATTTCAAGCAATGGAATTTGCTGCTGTTTTTTCAGTTTGACACACATACAAATACAATGTTATGTTTTGGTGTATGTGGGTTTCGTGATTTTTATTTTGAAACGAATTTAGTCGCGATTATTGTCTCAAAATTGTTAATTTGCTCTTTTTGTTTTTTCTGTAACATAATATTTACATATGTCGCTTTTGTTTCGCTTTTGTTAATATTAAAGTGCAATTGAAGAGTTACAGTTGTGTGTGAAATTTAAATAAATAAATTTTAATAAATAAATTTTAATAAAATAATTTTAATAGAAAAATTTTAATTAATAAGTAAGTGAGATCTCACTTTGCGTCGCTTCACTGTGGGTTTTTTCGAAGTTGCGTCGTTACTGAATTAAGACTTATTTTCGCTGTGAGTCGTTGTTTTTTCGAATTGCGTTGTTTTGCGAATGCGAAATGTATTTCTTTTTTTATTATTATTCAGAGAATTCTTGCTAACTTAGCAAGAGAGTCCAATTTTGAAGGGATGGATGAAGTTGACATAAATGAATTGCTAGCTCCTAACCAAGAAATGTCTAATGAGGAATTGATGCAACTGGATTTGGAAATCGCTAACGAAGAAGACAGCTCGCTAGATATAAGTAAGCGTCAAAATTTAACTTCACAGCAAATTTCTAAAGCAATGAATCTAATTGACGAAGAAATGGAAATTTTTTCAAAAAACGATCCTTATAGTGAAAGAAGTGCAAATAATTTTATAATTGATTTATTTTTTGTATCTATTTTTAATTTTTGGTTGAATTTATAGTCTTTTTTATGTTTTTAAATGAATTAATAAAGTTTTACTTTTGTTATGTTATTTAAATATTCTTCTTTTTTTAACATTTAAGGACTGAATGAAAAATACGATAACGTGTCTTCGATGTTTTTATGATTTTCAATAGAAAATAGCAATTCACTTTGCGTTGTTTCAATATGAGTCGCGATATTTTGGAAAGTAGTTACGACGCAAAGCGAGGTTTTACTGTAATTTGATATCTTATTATTCAAAGTTAATAACTTTAAATATGTAAAATTTTAATTAATATTAGCATTAAGTTGGCAATAAGAAATATAAACTATTTTTAATACTTATTTTTTAGTATTTTATGTCATTATATTATTAATTTTTTTTTGTAAATAATTTTACAAATAAACCAATAAGAAACCTCTTTTAAATTTTATTTTCGCTGTTTATTTTTTATCTCTTCCGAGTAGCGGAGTAACACTACTCCTTGATACATACAAAAAAGTAAATTTTTACGCTTCTCTACGGTGCATACGAAAGAATAAGTTTTTACGCTTCTCCGCGATGCATATGGAAGAATCATTTGTTACGCTTCTAAGCAACGCATAAGCGATATATATAGAAGACTAATTTGTTACGCTTTTAAGGACCATGTTATGCAAAGTGTCTCGGGCACGGCATGAGTACAATTATTGTTGTTTTTAATGCATATTTTAAATTTTAGAATGAGAGAAAATACAATATGCCGTATTTGTGCCCCGGTACTAAGGCAAAACAGTATTGTTTAGTAATAAATTTCAAAATTTGCGCCTTTTAGGAACAAATTACTACAATTCTAATACGTTTTGGAGAAAAAATGGCAGTAAGCATAAATCGTAAGCATATCCTTTTTTTATAAACTTAAAAACTTTCCAGTTTTAAAGTTATTTTTGATGGCAAATTGAAAGTAAGCGTATCTAAATTTCCTTTTAAATTTAGACACAACCAAAAAGTATCAAAACATTGTAAAAATACGAAATTTGCAATGTGACACTCTGCATAACACGCATTTTCGGCATAGTCCGAAAGAACGTAATTTGCCGTGTCCAAGACACTCTGTATAACATGGCCCTAAACGAGTCGAGGATGAGCGGACAAATTCTCATAACGAAAGCATCGTCTGCGACTGTAAGACACGCTCTTCCGCGATTAAATTGCTCAGCAATTTAATTAGTTTTAATTTAAGATTCTCGGAAGACTCTTCCGCGGTTGAAAATGTTCGCTTGGAGAATACAAAACAAATTTCACGCTTCATGACAGTTCATAATAATGTAAACTGAACTGTCAGTTCATGTTGTCGTCAAGTTCATGATAGTGTAAATAAGTCCATATACTTCAAATTTTAGTCATTACCAGTGTGAGAAATTTATTTTTAAGGGTTACATTCGAAATTTTTCTCCTTAAATGAGCTAATTTATTAATAATAAAATCATATTCATTAAAAAATATTTGTATGTGCAAAACCGCCTAAACGCGACAGTGTAAATGTGCTATGAATAAGGTTTTATTAAAAACCGCCTCTTGTGTATAGAAATGCTAGATGTAGCAATTTAAATGTTCGATTTATACGTGTATTATTGTGAATGATATATATGATTGTGAAGGGTGCAGTTCATTTTTCATTCAGTGGTAGCATTTTAAGAGCGTCTGTTAGAACTTAGAACAAATAAGTTTATGCATTTGGTTTTAGTTTTTTCATGAATATTTCATAGAAGTAGGATTTTTGACGATATGACAACAGAAAGTGATATTTTAGAATCAATAGAGGCATGCCGCACATGTGGTATTTTCTACATAACTTCTTCAAATTTCTTGAAACCAATTTTTTCAACTCCTGTCGCTGATCCTGAAATGTGTCAAATTCGACACGAATTTTCTACATGGAAATTAGAGGTAATATTTGAAACATAATTCAAGATAACCTTAGAATAATATTTTATTATAAAATTCAGATAAATGAAAATGATGGATATCCACAATATATATGCAACTGTTGTATACATCAGTTTCAAAAAGTGCTTCAGTTCCGACGAAGTTGCTTAAACGTACAGGGACAGTTCCGAGAATTTTTTAACTTGCGTCAACAAAATCCTATTCAAATTAAAACTGAAATAATAGATCCAGATGATGATTTATCTAGCAAGCATTTCATTTATGTCGATGATTTAAGCGATAATGAATATGATGGGACACCCTTTCATATACCACATATGCCTATAAAAGAAGAAGTAATTGAAGCAGCAAATGTGCCAAATGAAATGCAACCAATTAAAATCGAACCAAATTGCTCTGATGTACTCATTACTCCTAATTCCTCTTTGGAAACACAATCATTTATACAAAATATTGATTCTCTTAAAATAATTGACGATTTAACACATGGAGTTGTTAATATTAAAAATGACCTAGTCTTAATGAACATTAAAGGCGAACCAAAAGAAAATGTTTTCGAAAATGAAATGAATAGTGTTTTAAATACAGCTCTTATAGATAATAAAGTACAATGCGCAATTTGCCTACATAAATCAGAAAATCAAACTGAACATAAACATCACATGGAACACATTCACGAAACGAAAAACTATGACTGTCATTTATGTGGTAAGAAACTTATTAATTGTACATTAAAGAGATATCAATATCATTTAAAATGGCATAAAATCGGAAAACATATAAAATGCGCCCAATGTGGTTTTTTCTGTACCTCAAAAGCTGCATTAAATGAACACACTCGCGCTATACATTCAAAAGTATCATGCAAACTCTGTGGAAAATGTAAGTTATAGTAATAAATTTAACATTTTTAATAAACATAAATTTCCAGATATTTGCAAAAAATTTATTTTATAATTTTTTACTTTCAGCTGTTTTCCCCAAAAAATTGAATGCGCATATGAAAGAAATGCACAGTATGGAATCTATAAAGTGCATAAAGTGTAATATGGGTAAGTAAATTTTATTAAATATACAGATACGATTTGTATTAATAAAAATTTTTTTAAATTAAAATAAAGCATTTGCAACGGAAAGTGAGCGAGATCTACATATTTGGAAAATTCATGCTTCAGAATCCAATAACAGTTATAAAGACATCAATTTGCATTCTATTCAATCAGATTTACAAAATTTAAAAAATTATACAATAGATGTTCCAAGTGTCTCTGAAGAACAAATCGGACCGCAAATAAATATCACACAATTCACCGATATGGAAACAAGTGTCAGCAACGTATTAATAGAGGACACAGTTCTAACAACATCGGAACATAATGCATTATTTTTCAGTAATGACGAAGCTTCAAAAGTTTCTTATTGTACTCAATTAACTGACGGCGACGACAACTCATCGGATACTACTTACGCTAGTGAAGGTGATAATATCGGATCAGTAGCTCATCAGTTTGTTTGTGCACTTTGTGCTAATACGTTTGAGACTGTTGAAGAATTGTACAGTCATAACTTAGATCATAAAAATGACAGCACATTTAGTTGTCAAATATGCGGAGAAAAGTTTTTCTTGAAATTCTCTCTTAATAGACACTTGAAGAAACATGACGTATCCTTTTAAATTAGATTTACCATTTGCTATTACATACATGTTTATGTATATATACATATGTTTGAGTTATAAAGCTCTGGCTTACCATTTGCAATGTACTTTTAGTAAAAGACAATAGTATTAAAATATAAATAAATTAATTTTGCTAAAAATTGCTGGTGCTTGATAAGCATCATCGATATTATTACATAATGTTTCATACTGTATTTAAATGAATATTGATTATTTAATGTATCTATTGATCTTATTCCAGACTTTTAATTTCGAATATAAAATTTGCAAAATGCATACATTAACTAAATTAATAATAATTTTGTTTTAAAAATTTTTTAATTTTTAGTTATTTAAAAAAAGTTACTTTCGGCTACAGATGAATGCAAATGAAAATATATTGAAAAAATTAATAAAAAAACAATATTACCAACTATAATTTGGTTATTAATTCTGTAAAAATTTATGTGTTTTATAGAAAAGAATTTATGCATTATAGTACTAAAGTATCTTTATATAATGTCATCCAAAAAATATTGACATATTGAATATTTTATTAATCACTGGTTATTAAATACATATAAGTTCAGTATAGTATTTTTAGTGGGTCCAAGAGAATAGAAATCAGCCATGCGTGTGCGAACATAATGTCCAAAATCAAGACCACAATTTGCAATAACAACGAAGTTGTCAAGTAAATTTTATCAAATTAATTTACGTAGTTATTTTATAACATTCTGTTAGAATGCTCTCACTATCCAAGAAACATATACTGATACTATCCTATTGAATAGTGTAAAACATCCATCGTTTATAAAGCATGTAAATTTCTTGAAACATGAAATTTATATATTGTTTTTTAGATATGAAGTTATATTTTTTTTTAGTTTTAAGAAAAACAAAATCGAATTTAAGAATGTACATCCTGGCTATAATCGTAACATAATTAATTGTTCTCAATTTAAAAATAAGTCAAATATATTTACGTGGTTTGTTATTAAGACGTTTTCTTACGAACGTAGTTGAGCTTCAATTGTAAAAAAAAACAGTTTAGTCAGTTCTTGATTTTTTTAAACTATTGCATTGAAACAAAAAATATTTTATGTAAATTCATTTATAATAAAATCATTTCCAATCTCTGACCAACTAATTACTTTTATGTACAACAATAACGATTTTTAAATTTTTGTTAATAATGTCATTTGTTGAGTTCTAAATAAATCAATCATTAAATACTTTTGAATTAAAATTGATCTAAAGGTCTATTCTTAAGCCTTCTTATTAACATATTTTTTTTCTTTTTTATTGGTTTTAAATTGTTTATAATTAATTTCTTTTTTAAAATGTGCAAATATTATATACTAAAATATTCAACTTTTGAACCACTCAAATTATTGAGTTGTATATAATATATTTATTAATTAAAATCAGTGAAGTTATAAGTTTCTAGTTAACTTTTTTTATAATAATATATACGGTGTTATATTTATGAAATTAATAATTGCTATAGTTAATTGACTTTATATAGTTATAGTTTATAATAACGCTTTGAAGTTTATTTATATAATATATGTTATGATGTATTTTTGTAATTGTAATTGTAGTTCTGTTAATATTTTATGTTAACATGTGGAAGCTTTACCTTATCAGTTACTATGGCATTTTCTAAATCTGATATGTTTAGTTTCTGCTATGTGTTGCATGCATTACACTTTTTTTGATTTGAGGATATATGACAAGTAAAATAATGTTTTATTTTGTGCTTTAATGTATTAGTTCTTTTGTTTAATTTAAGGCTGTTTAAAGTCCATTGGTCATTGTGATACGATGGACTATCCATCGTATTCTATGTTTAGAAATTCCTTGTGATTTAGTATTATAATTTTCCGGATTTGGGTTCTTATTGTTCTTATGATTTAACGTTTTTTTTAGGTTAGATTAAATGTTTATTATTTTCCCAAATAACGTAGGCTTTATAGTTTTTACTGTTTCTGTAAAAATAACTCTTTTTATGTTTTGTGTTGTAACAGTACTACTCCTTGTGAAAGAAGATAAACTAAATATATTTATATTTATGCTAAAAACCATTTAATATTTTTCTTTTAGTTAACGTATTATATATAATAATAAAAAAAAATTGATTTGCGCGCAATTCAATTCTGAGTGGCTGATATTGATATTTACATTATACTTACAAAATTTGGCTAAAAATTAATTTTAAGAATATGAATAAAAGCGTAAGATAAACTAACAAGTTTGTTGAAAAAGTGCATTTATTACTAAAAACTATAATTTATTCTTTGGAAATAAACATCGGTCATTTCTCCATTATTTTAAGTAGTAAAAATGAAAAATTGCATTATTTTTGTTTCTATTGAAATAAGTTGGCAACTTCTCCATGTTACTCAAAAGTCATACTACACTACAGAGTTACCAATCTCTAAGTATATTGCAAGTGTGTTATAGTTATTGATATTATCATACTTTTTAGCCAATAAAATGTTAATATTAATTTTGCATTACAATATACTTAGTATTTATTTGAAGTAATTATTTAATATGGAAACCTAATAACAGAAATGTTAATATTACACATATGAACATAGCTTGTGTAATTATTGTGTTTAGCGCGCTCACAGTGGAACACTGGTAACAAGTGGTACAATGGCAAATAAACAAAATACAATAAAAATATGTGAAATGTGAAAAAGAAGAACCATTTCAATTAAATTGTTCAGAATATGTTCTCGTCAAATAAATTGCACGAGAGAAAAAGAACGCTTTGTCGTTAAAGTAAAAATTTTCTTAAAAAAGCAATAAAGTCGCGTTAAAAGTATGAGAATCGGACAAACTAAGTTCTTACAAGCGACTTTAACTATATATATAAAATAAATGTGGTGTTTATTTGCAGGTATTAAATGTATGTATTTAAAATTATTAAACGTGTTGATGATGCAACCAGTATAAAAAAAATAAAAACGTCGCACATTTGAGTGTAGAGAAAATTTTAATTGATAAAATAAGAATTGTAATTTGGTTTTGGCGAAAGCTAAACATTGTTGTGAATATATATTTGCGAGCACATAATCAATATGAGTCAATCAAATTCAGATATAAGTGAATCAATAGATGGTGGCGAGGAAAGTGATAACTCAAGCAGTTCGAGTAATTCCGATAGCAGTGCCTCCAGTTGTAGTTCATCTTCATCAGACAGCGAACAGTTAGAATATGATTCGTTGGAGTTGGCTAAAATAACTGAAGAAGAATTGAGATTGCCTCGGGGACTTTGTGAAAATAGTGCCATATTTAAAGAATTTTTCTCGCTTAATACTTGGCAGTTGTTACCAGAAGAGTTTCAGGCGCAGCTACAAGAGTATTTGCCTTGTTTTTCGCAGATTTTACTAAAACCAGGTGAGGCAGCAGCCGAGCAGCAGAAGACAGTTGCGATGCTGTTCAAAAGAGAATTGAATCGGTTTGGATCTTGTCCGCTTACCGAACTGCAACGAAATCTAGAGGAAGGTAATTATAGACCAGATGTCTTGAAATTAAGACAAAGGATAGCAAAGTCTAAACGGCGTCATAATCGCTTCTCCAATTGTGAAAGGATAAGTCAAATTGCAAAAAACTTATTCATATCCAGGGAGCGATTATTGCGAAACTCATATAATTCGCCGCCAGATACTAACGTGTGTACAGCAAGATCTTTAAAAAAACAAATTGAATTAGTGCATGTTAACTCAAAAGCATATGTCAAAAAAGCTCGAAAACGTTATCGTATGGAGATATTAAAACTAGCTAAAGATGTGGGATTAGGCGAACTTAGCAGTGATGAAGAATATGATATTGCGCAAGTGGATGTAGAAGTGAAGCAACATAGTGCCAAAACTATTTTAGATCTCGCACAAAATAATGAAGAAGCAAACTTACCGAACAATACTGATAAGTGTATTTACAGTACATTCACAAAACAAAAGCAAGAGGTTACAAACGCCGATACTATATACATGGATCAACTTTCGAAATATCCACGTTTATCGAATATGCCGTTTTCAAAGTATTTACAAAATTATATTCGAAAGAAGTTTGTAGAACCTGTAAGAGTAATTACCTTTTTTTTTTTTATTATATATATTAATAACCAATCTTATATTGCAGACATTGCCAGAATATGATACAACGGATGTGCGTTTACGTGATGTATATGGACGAGCCCAAGTTGCTATTAGTTTAAAACGTACAATGTCTCCAGAAAAGTCGCCACCTAAGAAGCAATTAAAAATGAACGAACCACCAGCTCTAGTACCTATAAAGCCAATACGTAAATTACCACAAAGTGTATTGGAGTCCAAAGAAAAACCTATAAATAATGCAGACGTTCCGTTTGATAACAAATTTTTGAACATATATCAAAAGTTGGATTTGATCAAAAAATATGATAATGATCCATTTAGCGTAATGGATAATGATATAGAGTTACAACACGAGGAAGTCGTAGCATATAGTAGTAGCGAAGATGTAATGTCACCGTATGTTATGGGAAATGATATGATGTTATCGCAGCATGTACAAAACGATGAACTACCACAGAACATATTACAGGCATCAAAAACAAGTGAAATGCCATTACATATGTTGTCACCAGTCAATGAACAAAGCAAACAACTGCAAAAGCAGAATTCAGACTTTTACAATTTACCAAAATTAGAGCCTCTTACAGGTTTAAATAAAATAAATAAGGAAAAAATAAAAGTAACATTACAAACTAGTACAGCACAATCTCCAAAGTCGGCATATATAGGTACCGGTTCAAATCAATCAGTGTTAAAAAAATCTGTTTCTGGTTCACAAGTTAGTAATGTATCATATGGTTCGAATGCTGAGCTCATACAAGAAACTCATTCATGCTTTTTTTCGCTTATACGTGATTTTTTTTGTGCTACGCCTAATCACCGTATGAAGTTTGATGATTTAAAGCACAAAATTGATAGATGGTTATGTAATCCAATTACTGCACTAAACGATTGGTACTCGCAAGCCGAAAGTTGGTCGGCTTTAATTCTTTCAGCTATTAATTTTCTTGCTGGAGAATTTGTAGAACAACCAGAAGAATATGTACCATACATAGAATATAAAAGACAACTCAATATATACCAGTGGATTGGTGCTGGTCGTGACTCAGATACTCGCTTAACATCACTTTGTCACTATTGGATGCAGCGCCGTAATGAAACATTAGAAAATTCGAGTAAGCATAAACTCGACCAACTAACTGGTGGTATACGGCGACGATCAATGGAAGTTGAAGATGGCTGCAATTATGATAGCAACGCACTACCGCCGCCACCACCACGCTTTCCAACAACGTGGGCAGTACGACCAGCAACAATTGAAGAGGTGCAAGAATTTCAAAAACAGGAACGTGAAAGATTCAGTAATCCTCACCGTGCTTTCACGTATCGCATGCATGATTATGAAAGTGTTGTAGGGCCAGTAAAGGGTATTTATTCCCAAATTTTTGCTTTAACAAAAGCTCGTGGACACAGTATGATGATCGGTGATCGACCAAATTTTGTAACTATTTTGACTTTAGTACGTGACGCTACCGCACGTTTACCTAATGGTGAAGGAACACGTGCAGATATTTCTGAATTACTTAAATGCTCACAGTTTATAAATCGAGACGCAGCAGATAACGTGCTGCAAACAATAGTTAGTGGAGCCTTGGATCGTATGCATACAGAACATGATGCTTGTGTTAGATATGATCCAAAAAGAAAAATTTGGATTTATTTGCATCGTAACCGCAGTGAGGAAGAATTTGAACGCATGCACCAGCAATACCAAGGTATTGGGAAAAATAAGAAAAATCCAACTAAAAAACCGAAGTCTAAAATCCAAGCAAGAGATGGCTCTGATTCAGATGTTACTACTACAAATGTGCTTTCAAGTGTCAGTAGTAGTGTAGGGATTATATCTAAAGCTACGAAAAATTACAATGTGCCTGCTTTAGTGCCGGCTAAGTCTTTAACTTTTAATACCATTAATAATAAATCATTAATAAATCAGCACCACCAACCGCAACAAAACCCATTACCTAATTGCCCACCAGTTCCGCCTTTGAAATATAACATACCATCACAAAAATCTTTGCTTAAGCCAATCTTTAAAACCCAACGGCCTTTAGAAAAAGTTATTATAGAAAGTAATGATAAACGTTCCGATCAAAATACATTAAGTACAACACAACGAAATTTGGTGCGCACAATAACAAAAAGCAATACTTCAACTTCTGCAACCGCGGTTGGTGGAAAACAATTTAGCTTTTCAGTACCACAAATGAAAAATATATCTAGTGGAACAACACCCATAATTGTGGCTACACCGGCTGGCATACAAACATTGCGTGTACCACAAAGTAACGCGTCAATTGCAAAAGTAAAATCAACTACACCAACACAATTACCAACCATTAATGCAAACATTGCTAGCAAGAAGCTTGCACTAAATAAACCAATTATAATTAACCAAGTAACGCAGAATACTTCGGGTAAATTAAGTGTAATGCAAGGAGGAAAGCCGTTACAACAACAACAATCAAATGCGCAACAGCCACAAAGTTTCATTATTCCAATAAATAATATTGCACTAGCGACAAACGATAGTAAAAAGCTAAGCACAATAGCAAATGCAAAAGAACAAACTAGGAATTTACAAGCTATTCTGGTGGATGATTCTCAAAGTACTAGTACAGAAGGTTCCATTACACAACTCCAACAACAGACACCACCGAAAAATTTAATTCGTCTTGTATCAACAATAAACACCAACAATTCGCCCGTCACGAAATCAGTCATTGCAAGCCCCATCGCATCAACTGGAAGTCTACAAAATAACAATCAAACATCTGTTCAAATACTGGGTCAACGTGTAATGGCAGGCAATACAATACGTCCGCATATTCAGCAAAGAACCGCCTCAAATGTATCAATTGTGGCTAATAGTGCTGTTCCAAATCAAATCACTCAAACTGGTACTGCTGGAACGATTGTGAAAATGTCTCCTCAAGCTTTTGCAGCACTTCAACAAAAATCGGGCCAACATGTTATCGTGAAGCAAACCATTACGAATAATCAGTCAAGAGTATTAATCGGTAAGAATGATATAACAGTTTCTGTATATTTAGATGGATTTTTTTAGACACTCGACTATATGCTATTATAAAGCACGTTTTTACGTTCAATTGATTTTGATTTTTATTTTACATGGGTACTATTATTTATTTTTGGGTTCACTCTTAAACTAAATCAACAATATATAAACTGAGCCTGGCCTATTCCCAATTTCATTTACTTGACTTTATTTATTTATTTTTTAAATATTAACTATGAGGTTATCAATATTGTGATTACCTATTTAATTTTAAAATATTTAATTTGAATTCCACTAATCTTTATTTAGAAACTACAATAAGGTTAGACGTAGTTGTTTTTTTTTTTTTTGATATATACGTTAATGTCTAAATTTATAGTCCCAAAATTAAACTCTAGTTATATAATTTTTCTATATATAGTTTTTGTAGTTATATAATATGAAACAAAAGTTATTAATGCCAGATTCAAAACCAACATTCAAAAAAAAAAATTCGAATCCGTCTAACTTTTAAAGAAAATTAATTTTAAATAAATTTTTTATTTTTGATTTTTAGGTCAAACTGGTCAAACTATAACAAAGGGTGGTGGAACACAACAATTAGCTGTTAAACAAAAAACTAACGTCACTGTGACACAAACAAGCAATAATGTGATTAGTTCTACTATAGGTACACAATTAAATGCTAAAACTAACGCTGCTGTAACTGCGACAAATCAATCCGGCAATAAAATTCAAACGATAAGTACAGCCAATTTAACATTGCAACAACAACGTGCACTCTTTCAAAATCTGAAACAGCAGCAACAGTTACAGTTCAAAACGGTGCATGTTGTTGCACCCCAACAGCAACAGCAACATCAACAGCCAGATCAACCAAAGCAACACCAAACACAGAACATTGCAACTGCATCGAAACCTGTGACTATAGTATCCCAACAGCAAAACATAGCTCGGCTTCTGAAACCCGTTACAACAACACAACAACAACAACAACAACAACAACAACAAAAAACATTAAATCAATCATCTGTAATAGCAAAGGACGCAAATAACACAAGAGTACTTGCATCATCGACTGGTCAGATTATTTCTTTAGAAGAATTATTACAGAAACAAGGGAACAATACTATAAAACTTGCTACTAGCCTTAATGCTAAACCAATACAAGGCACTAACATCATACAGTTGGCTACACCAACCAATACCGAGCTACCAAAAGTATCAACAACACAATTTGCTGTAGTTTCTCAGCCTAAAAATGTAATATCATTAAACTCAACGCAACGTCTTATTACAACCCAACCGAACACCACTTCCCTGTCAGCTACAATAGCCGGGAAAGAGATATCGAAAATTGCCAGTAATACTATCACATCAGGACGTATGCTGACCAATAGCCCAGTGCAAAATACCAAAGTAGCACAATTGACAAATTCTAAAACTTTGAATAAAAGCATAGGTGAGAATATTTCGAAAGCTGCTATAAGTCCAGCTGGTAGTAGTAACATACGTGTTATTAATACTAACTCAGCCACTGGTATTAATATTGCAAGTTTGCAAGGCAAGCAGATTGTGTTCGCCGCTAAACCTGTGTCAAATGTGAAGAACATTACTGCAGTCACTGCGAGTCAAGCGCAGCAGTTACAAAATGCGGGCATTATATTAAGTGGTCAGACTGTTAAAATTCAAGGAGGTGTAAGTGATATCTGTAGACAACATAACATATTTTTATCATATTTAGTGTTTTTATATTTTTGCTTTCTTTTTATTAGATAAACACTCAACACGTAACAAAAGGAAGTGGCATTGTGGGGCCACAAACGGCAACACAGTCACCAACAATTGTTATGGGTAACCAAATATTGAAAGTGCAACAGTTACCGCAAATAACGAAGGTATCACAAAATCGCGTATCAGTCTCCAATGCCTTACCGTTAACTACTGTAGCAAATGTTAATAAAGGAACTGTACTAGTAAATACCAGCAATAGTGATACAGTATTGAACACAACTGCGCCGAGCATAGGAAAAACTATAGTTTTAAATTCTGCAGGTCAACCTCTGCGCATGCAGTCCAGCCAGGTTACATCCCAAGGGGTAAATATCTAATTTTTGTAAACTATCATGTAAGATAGACTATTAGTAAGCTCTAGCAGGATGTTTTAAATTAGTAATGATTTTATAATGTTTGGTTAAAAGTAATTTTAATGCTTTTTTATAGCTCTTAAAAATATTTCCGCCTGCATTGTAATTATTTGTAGTTGTGCTTCAAAGTGGTGGAGTATTACATTGTTCGACTTCCGACTTGTTTGATGACTTGCTCGAACAGCAAATAGATTTGCTGTTTCATTTTATTTTCGTTTTATATTATACAAACACGTATAGTAAGCTTGAACCGTTTGTTCGAACATGAAAGTGCTCGAAGCTTCGAAATAGCTGGAATAATATTTTAATAATTTTATGTACACCTAAATTTGAACGCTTACCATTTACTGATTATGAATGTTTGAAATAAACTAAAACACATCAAAGCAATTAAATTTCACTTATAACTATAATACTCTAAATAAAAAACAAATTTTAAATCGTTTAAGTTTTTATAATAACTGTCAGTTTTGATAATCTGTTTTAAAGTAAAAAGATTCGGTTGCTTCAACTTTTTGTTTTATTTAAAAAAGTTTTTCTGATTTATTTTTTTTTTCTGATTTTTATTTTTTCCGTTGCAGAATACTGTGTTAAAAACAGTTCCTAGCAGTAGAGTTGTTTTAACAGTTCAAGGTGGCGGTCAAATGGTATTTTCACCAAGTATACAAGGAGGCTCTCTTAATCTTAAACAACTACAAAATATGAAAGTAGTTTCTTTAGCATCCATGCCTGTTGTCAAAGATCCAAAACACCAGAATAAAATTACAATTTCTGCGCAACAGCAACAACAAGTAAACCAGCAAACAATACTGAAGAGCACAGGAAGTGGGAGTATTGGAAGCTAAAAATACTTAAAGTAATTTAAATAAAATAATTTTGGTTTAAGAGTACTTGATTATTCGCAAAGCGTTAAGTTAATCGTTACGAATCATTAAGTATTATATATTTTTTTTATTATAATTTATAAATAATAATTAATAATAATAAAATGTACTCACATTATAATTGCATTCAGTCGTAAATTCATTTGTAAAAATAGAAACATTTTTATCAACTAAATTAAGCTTAATGTTATAATAAAAATATATTATATATTATGATTATAATATAAATATAAATAATAATAATATTTAGTCTAGGGTAAGAGGTAAAACAATATTGGATTATTTAATTTATAATTTAAGCTTGTTACGTAGAATGAAAATAAAAAGAGCATTACTTAAAAATATTACTTTATTTAAATATTACTTAATTTTGAAATGAACAACAAGAATAACAAGGATTTTCTTTTTCTTTCCACGTATTACGACAGAGAACTTAAGTCCAAAGCATATATTAAACTTTGTGAAACTTTTATGGTTTATTCCTATCCTCATGGGCTTATTTTGATTCCTATTCAATTCACTTGATCTATTTCTAATACTACTATATTTAACGGTATTTAACTTAAACCAGGACTGTCCAAAGCACAATTAGGCAAATTTTGATTTGTTATATGAAATGAATTAAAATATTTTAAACAATTTATTATACTTCACGTTAATTTACTTAATTTGCAAAGGTTTTAGTATGAATTTCTTTCTACAACGGGTTAAAAAAACTCATGTCCCGTGTATGTCATTACATTAAAAAGAAGATATTTTTTGTATGGCAAAAACTAATATTAATAATGTTGATGTTGATAGAATTGTTAAACATAAATAATTGAAGAATTAATAAAACTAAATTTAATATTATCGCTGTATTTTTATTTTTCTCCGGTATGTATTAATTTCTGCAGCCCTTCAACCTGGTCTGGACAGCCCTGACTTATATCATTAAAGCTGAAATATTACTAGTCATTTTTAATAAAACAATATTGAATAAAGAGAGTGTAGTACTAGAAAAAGATACCTGAAGTATTGTTAATTGTAATTATAGTTCCAATCCGCAATATGCAAGACAGTATCTGAATTTTCAAAAAAATTTTGTGCTGTATATTGTCGGAATACAAGTTGCTCAATGTGTATAAACAAGCATAGCTTGTTATTATTAAACTTTTATATTACAGAAAGCAATGGTGGTTTCAGAAAACACTGCATCTATAAGTGATTCGGAAAGCTAAGGCTCGTATTCCTTAGCTGAACAATTTAAAAAACAACCGTGCAACAAATACCCAAAAAGAAGTTAGCCTTACAAGTTCCAACATTTCACCAATACTCCCAATTTAGCAATGAGAAAATTGTGACATTCTAATGGCAACAACAATTCAAGAATCGCCTTTTGTGATAGTCGACCCAAAGGGACGATGATTGTTCTATGTTGATATTTGTGGGCCGTTGCGTCGAGATTAATACAAATTAATTAAATGAAGTGCATTTAAGCACTTATACTCTTTTTTAACTTGAGATATTTTCAAAATCCTTTTTTATACCTTGACTAGATTATTGATTATCACTTCATCAGACTAAGCAATAATTGCCCCCAGATCTGCATACCTCCCCGAGGAGCCTGTAACCATTCTGAGATTTGATAACGCGGTGTTGGTAAGTCTGCCAGTTTTCGCAAATAATTTCAGGGCTCTATCCTATCTATCTATAGTGAAACAGACTTTAGCAATTACTCTGAAACAATGGGCAACTAAATATTTTATTGATAAAGAGTGGACTTTCAACCAATTTTGCGTTAAGGTTGGGGGTAACTTTTTATAGTTTATTTCGATTGCACAGTGCCCCGGATTCCATGTGCAAGTCCGTTTAATTTGTTAGTATAAGGCATTTCGCAGATCTAGAAACCTCGTCCTTTTTGGGACAAGGGTTTAAAATTCCGAATGTTAATTTTCGTCTAGCGTTCTTTCCTATATTCTGATTTCGTTATGACAAACAATAATAATGAAATAGAAAGTATTCTATAACAGATATTAATAACAAATAGACAAAAACAATCAGAGTGAAAGCAAACAATCAATCGCCATCCTTTTGAATGACCATAACATTAATGATGTGTAGGAACTCGAATAACTGGGAATCATAGTCAACAGCTATGGTGGCACGTCAATGGATATCGACAGCAGAGTGAAAAAAGCAAAATAGTCTTTCGCGTTGCTTAATAAAGTCTGGAAAGCCAACATTGCAAGTGTCGAAACTAAAATCAAAATATTCAATGCCTGCTTAAAATCGACACAGTGGCGTAACTACATTTTTTAGGCCTGTAAGCAAATTCTAACTAAGGGGCCCCTACCAACATACTATGGGGCCCCTCTTTTTATACTCTTTACACGAAAAAATGTGAAAAGGGTATATAAGGTTTGTCAAGATTTTCGTAACGCATTAAAGAAAACGTCGGAAATACCATTAAGTATATATCAGTACAATATATATATATTTTTTCAGTTCAAACTACTCTCTCAGCTTTTGAACTCTTCGAATGAAACTTTACACACATACTTTTCGGGAGCCAACCCTGTTCACCATTTGATTTGATTGAAATTGGACGTCTATTTCTTGTAGCTGTGATATAAACTTAACAATCGGATATGAGGTTTCTCCGTTTTTAATAAAGGTATTCAAATGGAATTTGGTGTATACAGTACTGATATTTGCAAAAGACAACGTACAAAATTATTTTTAAATGGGTTTTAATCTAGATATAGCTCCCATATAAACTCTCGATTAAGACACATATTTTTCTTAGAAAAACTTTTTTATTTTATAAATAGGTTTAATATTTTATTTGAAGTACATACATATTATGTACTTTAAATTTAAAATTTACGTATCTTTTAAAAAATGCAATATGAAGTTATTCCAACAAAAACGTTTCGTCCCACTTTTGAGAATTTATTAAAAATAAATACAATGAATAGAAAAATTTATAGTGGGGCCCCCTAAATTCGGGGGCCCGAAAGCGTTGCTTCCAATTGCTTCCCTGTAGTTACGCCAATGAATCGACATTATTATATGGGTGCGGAACATGGTCGCCAACGAGGGCGTCAGCTCAGAAGCTACAAACGTTTGTTAATAGAAGCTTGCGACGTATTTTGAACATATGGTAACCTACAAGTCTCCAACGAAAAGTTATGGCGGCGCGCCAAATAAAAGCGAATAGAGAAGAAAATTTAGAGAGGGAAATATGGATGGCTTGGCTACACATTGAAAAAACTGACAGACGCAATTGCCCACGCAGTTATGGAATGGAACCCGCAAGGAGTAGGAGACGAGACCGTCCCAGAACAGTGACAACCGAAATGAACAAATACGTCAACCAGCTACGTTTTACTGAAAGAAACAGAGATGAATTGAAAAATTTTCTAATAACTATCTGTGAATAGACTAGCTTTTAAATCTAGTTTTTATAAATGAAGAACATGTCATAATAGCGACTGACTCAGAATGGGCGGCTCTTAGGTCAGTGTCTTACGCCATGTTAGGAGCGGCTGGACGATATACCTGGTAGTAGGCATAAAATACCACCTCGTGTACTACGAGGTGTGAACAAATAATACACAATGCAGCAACAAAATAATGTAAATCTAGGGAGATCGGATAACCCCACCGCGTCGGGATCGCATAACTCTCGCGTGCAGGATTTGGTACCTGGGTCCTGTTCGACAAGTATGCCACAGAACAACAGAAATAGAACACCTTTGCAGTCTGGTAAACAGCATATATATTCCGATATAGCTCTCACCGTGGCTGGCAGACCACGACAGCGCAGAAAATGGACTAATACTATAAATAAAGATTTATTACGCGCCTATTATATAGCTACAAACAATGAAAGAGATATGACAGCATATCGAACTACACTATATACAATATTCGTTGGGCACCATCCGGACTATAATGTATCGGAACAGCGACTAGCGGACCAAGTACGGGTTATTCATAGAAACAATCTTATACCAACAATCTTATTTAATTGATGTCGATGAAACCACGGATCAGCAGGAAGATGTAAGTACTGAACAAATTAAAATTAGAAGTAATCAGCATAGCTTAAATGAGATTTTTAAACAACAATTTGACATTTACAGTCACCTTAATCCTCTTTTAAGGCCACGCATTCCGAAAATTAATACTAGTAAGAAGCTAAGTTTTCTTATTGAAACACTTAACAATGATGCGATCCTGACAAAATTGAACGATGTGAGCAATTTGCAAGAATTACAAACTATTGCTACTACAATGGGATGCAAGATAGGACAACTCAGAGATGGACCACGAAGAGCTACAATTTATGGAAATAAGAGTAATACGCTACGAAGATTGATCATTTAAAAGAAGACTTAGAAAGAATAAATAAGTACATTGAAGGTAATCCTACAAGAAGACTTAAAAACACGATCAATAAGATATTAAAGGCATACAATATTCACACACGCTATGAAACAAATCACACTAATATTATTAACACAAGAGACACTATAAACACGGTTGCCACTTGAAAATTTTTTTCTGTACCAAAATTGGTTTAAAAAGGTACCATTTCTGTAAAAAAAGGTCCAAAATTTTTCTATTGTCTTTTTATAAGAAAATACAATTTATATAAAATGTACAAAAAGTATAAAACAATACAATATCCACAATAAAGTTGGGTCGCCGAAAATGTACCATTTATTGAACATGAGTACCAGAGTACCAAACGGAAAAAAAGTACCAATTTTGGTACTAAAGTACCATAAGTGGCAACCGTGACTATAAAACAGAAACTATGTGTACAAGTAGCGAGACAGCGTAAATATAAGTTATCGAATCAAAGACGAGAAAACAATAGACCCTTTAACAGCAACGAAAAGCATATTCTATAGAAAAATACGATCCAATGCCAATACGTCAGACGACGTATATCCAAGTAAGAATAGTGCAGAAAATTACTGGAGTTCACTGTGGTCCAATACACAAAAACATAATGAATCCGCTCATTGGAATGAAAAAGAGAAAGAGAATTATCAAGAAAAAAAAATGTCAACTTGTCTAATCACATGTGATCAGGTCAAACGAATTATAGCAAAAACACACAACTGGAAATCTCCTGGACCAGATCAC